ATACAAATTCATTCCAGGATAACAAACCTGTGTCTATTTAATTACTGCAAACTGCACTTGCTGATAGAGGCAATAAATAAGACAGAATAAGACAGAGGATATTGCTTAGAAGCAAGCATTGTTTCTACAAAATACTCTGAGGTGTAAATCTTGAGGGCCAAATTCTCAGTTTCACCTACGTCAATACAAAGCAATGGAGGACTCTTCCCTTTGTGTCAGGCAGTATCCCGGCTGTAAGACTTCTTACCCGACTCCTTACACGCCAATGGGACTGATGCAAACCACACAGAGAAGCCACCCTTTCACCAGGAAGAAAACACATTTATGCACAACCCAGGGGAAGCACAGGTTTTTGATATGGTGATTTATATTTAAATAGGGTCTACAATACATTTATTTATGGGTTTCTATTTTGTGTGTCTTATAAACCAGGAATTCAGAAAAAGGTAGAGAAATTAAAAGCATGTTGAAACCTCACGCCCACACCACTTTGTTCAACCTATGTTTCAGGTCTAAGAGACTTGGTAAGAAAACCTCTCAAAAGCAACCACCAAATTCGAAGCGCTATGGCCATAAAGACTTGATGCCAGTTGACACACACTGCAGTGTTACAGCAAACCTGTGGTTCCACAGGCAGAACCCTGCAGTTTTCTGATAGCAAAGGGCTTTTTATTTTTAACCACTACGCTGTCTTTGGTTTGCTGTGTGGCTGCTGAGATGGAAGAACAGCACTCTTTGCATATGCTTTCAGCTCTTGCAGTGTGCTTTTGCACCCCTTTAAAGCGCAAGGAGCTGAACCTACATTTAGGAACTTTCCAGAGATAACCATTAGGTCCCACCGGGCAGTTTTATTTATTTATTTTGTCTTCCTTTACAGAGAAAGACAACAGGCAAGGGAGTTCAAACGAAGCTCAGAGAAGCCAAAAAGGAAACCACAAGTTTTATTTTCCTCTTCAGAGCTTATGTTTAGTGAGGCCTAATCCCTCAGCACGAGACATATTGTGCTGTGCTCTTCTAGGGTTTCTAAATACCTCGGATCACCCAGAGAGATTCTGTGAACTCAAATAATCCTGATGTTAATTGGAAGATGCAGATAAACACTCTTTAATTCTTTTCTTCCAACTTTCTCAGACCTCAGGAGAGATACCTGGAGATAACATGTTCCAGTTTCAGTGGCAAAGGTCTTCTTTGACAACACATTTTGGGAAGTGTCAGATATTGTTTATCCTCTGGTGGTAGTTTTGCTCTCTTTGGTTCACAGAGCATAAAGGAGAAAATTCTTTTCTAATGTCTCCTTCTGTTTATCCCTCTCCCTCCAAGCTTCCTAATTCTACCCAAAGAGAAAAGTCATCAAGGCAAGACTGACAACTCAGTGTAGTTACGTGAGCTCCTGTGCATCCCTCTGTGCTCAAAAGCCGTTTTAGTCCTTCTTTTACTTCCCTCAATCATGACTCTGCTCTTGAAGGCCCTGAAAGTTAAACAGGAGCATCCTGGAGGCACTTTAGCTTAAGTTGCCTATAAGCGGCCACAAAGGATTAACATTTCAGTTTGTGCTTTGTAACTTGCTCAGGCTATGCCGGCAACAGAAAGTTTGAGCGGTATAAGGCCCTTCTTCCACACCGTGGTAAAACTCACGCTGACTTCAACCGCATGGGAATATCACTCCTTCCCCCAGTTCTGGGGGACTGCTGCTTTCCTGATAGATTACTGGCTTGCAATTAGTCCAGGCTATAGCGCTGGTGAGATGCAGAAGTGGGTCTACTGGATTGGAGAACCCAAGTCTAATAATTAACCTGAGGAATAACTTCTGATCCTTTAAATGAGGGGTATCTCACAACAAAGCTTCAGATATACAATCTGCTATTACAATACTTGTAACAGCTTTATCCCAGAAATGGAGGTTCTTCTTTCCTTCAAAGAGGGACTGCATAGAAAAGGTATGAGATTTTCCTGCCTGCCCGCCCTCCCACACAAACAACTCAAAAACTTTCACAGTAAGGTTTTTATGCAAAGAAATGGAGGTATCTGGCTCTCTGGGCAAATTGTGAGGTATGTGTAAGGTTGATGACCCCTTCTGTCCCAATGTATATCCTCTATCATGTCACTGTGTGCCAGAGGACTGCTGTGGGTGCTGTATCACATGCTAGGGTATTAAATGCATGGCTGGTAGGCATACTTCCAGCAAATAGTTTACTGTGGACAGGATGAAAGATTTGATGCAAAGAAGGAAAATCAACCACCCAAACAATGAAGTAAAGGGCCTCAACTTCATTTCAGGCCGTTTTATTCAGGAGGTCTTTGGCAGGGGCTGTTTTATTCTCCTTGCCAGAGCGCAGCCAGCTAAGCAAGCAAGGAATGTGTGCAACTTGCAATAGGCCAGTAACTTCACAGAGGTCAATGAAATCGCTCACATGCTGAAGCCAATAAAGCCAACCCACGCTCAGGTAAAACATGTGCTTACTGAGCTTTGCCAAAGCAGCACCTACCTCCTGAATAAAGCCCAAGGATTGCTGCAGCTTACATTTCCTCTTTAAAAACCTTCCCTTCCCCTCCATAAGGAAAGTGTCTTCTCCGGACATACTGATGGAGCTCTTCCCCTACACCATGACAAGCTAAAACATGAGCAATACCAGATGCACCCTGCATTAGTTACCAAATCTCTGCCGCTTTAATCCAGTCTAACAGGACAGACTGGTGCATGTCAGCATGGGCCTTTCTCAACCTGTGACCTTCAGCTGACATTACAGCTGCTGTCTTGAAGAACATGACCTACTCCTTAATTACGTAACACAGCTGCACAAGGCTGTCAAGGACAGAAACCAGGAAACTTAGCATGAGGTTCAACACTTGGTCCAGGGTTGACATCACTAGACTCATCTTCTAGCCATGGGAGTCCGCTCCAGTGTCACCGAGTTTGTTATGGAAGAGACATCCGTGGTAGACAGAAATAGAGATTAGACAATGTCCACACCAAGACATCATCTCTCAATCTGGGAAATCCATGCACACAAGCCCACCATGTGCTCTTTGGACAGCTGAATCGTTCTCTCTCTTCCAGCCCTATTCACACATTGAGTTAATCTAAGTCAAGGAAAATCCATTATTATGCCCTAAATGTATAAAATTTGCTTTTGTTTAATGTGACATTTGAGTTTGGGAAAAAGCCTTTGCTCTGAAATCCAATTATTGACTAACACTGCTAAGCATGCTAGCTCATTTCCAGATCCTCTTCTGAACTTTTCCTGTAATTTCCACTAGATTTTAAACCACAAGTTTGGCAGAGCTATTGCCATGAAAGGACTTTCACCAACCCTACCACAAAACCATAGGTAACATATGCAGAAATAAATGCCCAGGGGCAAATACCCTCTCACTTCGTTACTGATTTCCATCAACAGCTTTGCAATGGGAATGGATTTGGCCTTTTACCCTAAACAGGCATCCACCTTGTTAACACCTCTGGTTGCTGAAGAAAGCAGATTTGCAAAGAAACTGTTTCTTGTAGCACTAATCCTGACAAATGACTCCTCATCACCTCCTATGAACTTTCTAAATCAGGATGTTATTCAGTTTCCAGCTCACCACTGAATTCATTCGGATCTTGCCCATAGCCAACGCAGACTCTGTAAACAAGAAACCACAAAAAAGCTAGCAGATCTGTTAGCGACACTGCTGAAGCCTGGTTTAGAATGGACAGTTTACCTCGCATCTAAGAAGGGATGAGGCCTGATCGACAACCTTCCTGTGATTAACGTTTTCGTGATGGTACTCTCTCATGTGGGGTCTCTGGTGTCTATTGACACAGCTGGGTTCACAGTTCAAGTACGTGAATTCTTTGATGTCTCATTATGCAGTTAAGCCCATACTCCAGTTTTTCCCGCAGGCTCCTCTCCTCTCTCCAGACACTAATTTCCATGAAACTCCTTAATATCTCCGATATCACTGTCATTGTGCCACAATCAGCCAGCAGTTTCAAGAAGCATTTGGCAAGTTGGAGGTTAGGGAGAAGGGAGACAAGGGGCAAGCAGGCAGTTCTATCGCATAAGTATCTTTTTCTGAGAAAACTAGGTTAAAGACACCGTTATTCACTCCAACAAATGTACACAGCGATAGCAGGGGTGAAATACCATTTCTTGACCCAGCACAGAGAATCTTGCTCCTTGCTCCTTTTTCATCACTGGCCTTTAGATTATCCTGCTCTTTAAAACAATTTCAGACACAGAACTAATTCATACAGTGAGGAAAAGCAAAGAATCATTTTAAGTGTGAGAAACTATATATTTTCATTTGCTATAAATCTATTTGTTTATTAAAAAAATCACTAGCCAGGAAAATCTCAACTTCCTCACCCCCTAAGAATCCACTCCTGGCTCCCTCCCTCCCTTCTGCCTCATCCCGCTTCTCCTCAACACAAGCTCATGCTTTTCTTTAATTAAGCAAAAAAAATCTTAAACTTGCCTTTTGCCTGGAGTTCCTTGTTTTGTTTCTCCTCACTACTACTAAAAAAAATAATCTAACACTGAAGGCAAATACCAGTATCTATCTAGTCTTAATTTTTTGTATCAACAGCTTTGATAGAATTTGGTTCCAGTGACCAAATAGGACCATGATTCAACCATAAATTGCATATTCACTTTGTGGCCTACTCCAGATGTGAAGCTTCACATCCAGAACTGCTAATGCAGCAACATGCAGCATTTCATGGAAGTCATGTTATTACCACATACACTGGTCTGCGTGCAAAACTTCATATTTCAAGGCCCACAGTTTTAAAATGAGTCTTTACTCTCAGACCCTCTGGATCTTAAGGCATGAAATCTGAACCTCTACAGTCTCTACTTTTAGATACTAGGACCATATTTAATTGCACAGAGGCTCTGGCATTCTGGGTAAGAAGTTTTCAATGAATGAGCAAAATCAGAGACTGCTTAAGAAGACTTCAGCAATACAGTACAGAAAGACAGATAAAGAAAACAGCCTGAGAAAAGTAACAAATTTACCTGGAGTATTAACAGCATCTGAATAATAGAAGGTGGAACTCTGGCTCTGGAACGTGATAATGCATCTTCCAATTTAATGTTGAGGGTAATTATATTCCTAAAGTGCAGAAGAGCCAGCTGCCGAACTGAGGGCTCCTTCCCCTGAGAAACAGAAACAAAGCAAGATGGATCATGAGGAGTGTGAAAATGAGTTTCAAAGTCCTCCACGAAAATTCCTTCCTGCACTTCTGAGGGGTTACAAGAACGGTAAACCTGAATGAAAAGCAGAGGAAACATAACAAGGGACACAGAGCAGCCCACAAATCTGCACAGTGAATTTGATTTGTCAATAATGAACGCTGCAGACAATAACTGAGTCTGACTGCGTATGAAGATGATGAGGCGTTGGGGTGGGGGGATCATACTTGAGCACAGAATACATATGAATATTGTGTACTTTAACAGTAATGAAGTGTATCATATGTTTTTAAAAAAAAACAAAAGCAAGGTTGAAAAAGGGCTGAATTTCCATTATTTCTCAAGATTTTGAGTGCTGCCTAGATACTCTCTTCAAATTATGGTGGGAATCCTGACTCAGCCCACCTGTGGATCCTCCTTTTCTCTACAGTTTAGGAGACTTCACTGTAAAGTAGAAGTAGAGCTGAAGTTTCATATTGCATTTTCAAAGACATCTTTTTGCAGTTCAAGCATCACTTCTCACTGAAAAAAACCTCATCTGAAGAACACAATGCTAGCTCTGCCTGCAGAGATTAACACCACTTACTTTATACCTGATGAGGAGTTGTAAAACTGTTCCCATTGCTGGCACCAGGGCTTTTTCTTTGGGTATATATGGCTGTACACATATATTCTTTCCTACAGTTCTGAGTGCTACCAGCCAAACATTAACCCTCCTGGAAAGGCTGGTATTCAGCTGGTGTTGACTTACCTTAGTTTAGAATAAAAAAGCCTGGCCTGGCCTGGCCTGGCCTGGCCCCACCCCACCCCACCCCACCCATTCCTTTTCACTTTGTTAATTATTTGAACTGAAGGAAATAAGGCCAAATCTGCTTCAGTTGCTAATGAATAGAATTTACAAGAGCACATAAGCACCAGCTGGGCTTTTAGAAGTATCCTTAGAACATCAGGAACCTAGATCTATTTGAAATTACATGGGACTTGGGGTTCTTACCCCCTCCAGGCTCCTTTGAAAATTCAAACAATTATTTCCATCTGAAAGGTGAGGAGACTTTTGTTGCTAAATTATTTTCAAAGGCCTCAGGAACACAACAGTGAAAAGGGGTATTTGGTGCAATTTTCAAAAACATCTGAGTGAGTTCTAATTCAGTCAAGTTAGCATGGAAAACCAGGTTGAGAGCCTACCTGTATCTTTAGGTTCCCAAATGCCTTGGATTTAAATTATGTGGCACTTAGAAAAATCTCCCATCGTGTTCTAATAGGGTTTTAACACTATATATGTCTATCGTTTTAAAGTTTCTACTGGTAAGACACAAGTCAATGGGTGAAGTAGCCCTTTATGTTTTTAGAGCTCTTCTCTTTCAGAATCAAATCAGCAGCTTTTCCACTGCATTCAGATTTCATGCCTGTAATTAACTGCAGATGCAAACGGTAATATCGACAACATTTGGTCAGTCATTTTAGGCATGAAGTCCACTTGGAAAAATGGGAGAAAGTTTCCAAAGTTTCTCCAAATATGTTTAGGCACCAAACTCCCACTAAAATCTGTAGACATCTAAGAGCAACTCCAGAAGGTCACTTATACCTATCTGGTACAGATTTCCTTGGGACTTAAGTGATAAACAACACTCTGTGGCCATCACTAAGTTAGAAGAGTGAGCCTCATCCAAAACAGATCAAGTACCTACTGAGGATTTAAAATTACTGGAGTCAAATTCTGTGCTCATGTAAATTGGTCTAACTTCACTGACTATTGCTGTTCATTTATAGTAGCATAGAATTTGACCTCGGAAGTACAACTCCTTTTCAAAAGTGGAGATACTTCAGAGACGAAGTCACGTCACAGAGAAGGAAATGTATATATTTAAGTCAACACAGCTCCACTTATTTCAATGTGTGCATATTTCAGTTTACCATTCGCAACCTTTTTTGACTTTTAGTGTGAGCTGACAGAAGGACTAACCATCCTCCCTGCACTCCACTCCTGTTTTCAAAGTTCCCCTTCATCTTTTTCACCCAAGCACTTCAAACCGCTGTTTGCATAAGTAACTTCTTTGCATGACATGACTATACAGAACAGCTGCACTGGGAGGTTGGCCCAAGGAGAGAGAGTTAAGGATTGCATCAATCTGTTGATGAACCAGTAAAGTTGCTTCTTCCAGTTTTTCAAGATTCTATAGTAACAGAGTAATTTTTCACCTGCACAGGATAGAAAATAGCCTGAAGCATGGGCAGGACATCACTGAAGAAAAAATCCCAGGTTTCAGCTAAGGTATCGAGTAGTTTCTGCCCTGCAAAAACACAAAACAAACTAGTGAACCGTTTAGGTTGTAATCAGCTAACTGCAAAGACTAAAACACGCAGGAAACAATGTGGATCTGCTATTATACACAAGGATGAATCATGTAACAGCTACTATTAGCAGTATGGAATTAGTATTCCTTTCACTGTATCGGATCATTCAGTATTTGTGTCTTTTCAGATGACACATCTAATGTTCTTAGTAAACTAAGAGACTTTGAGGTTAAAGCTTACTCAGAACCCCCCCGTGAAGAATAAAGAATAGCAGCTCAGGTTACCTCCTCCTCTTCTTGCAGTAATACCTACTGGACAAGAATGTGGAGGAGAGCAGTAGGAGGAGGAGACAAGCAGGTTAAATGTGGAAACATTCCTGCAGAGAAATCTGCCCCACCATGCTCCCCTCTGCCCCCTAAGCCATAAGCCAGCACAGCAAACTGTGCTCTGTGGAGGTCCTCCACAAAGTATCCCCTCAGATTGATCCCTTAACTTCCCTGTATCTCCACTTACACAGAAAATCTCACCCAAGATCTATGGAAAAAGAGAATGGTGTTGCGGCTCTACTTTTTACTGTAACTTTCAAAGGATGCAGTCAAAACCTACTATGACCTGAGTTCCCCACGGTCCTCGCAGCGAGGCCACCTCCCTCTCTATTCCCTCCCCAGCTGCAGCCACCTGGAAGCCTCCCCAGTGGAGATCAGAGCAGCTCTGGCCAGGTCCTACAACCAAGTTGGACACAGAGTTCCTCACAGAACATTTTGTAAAACACAAAGGCAAACTCAGGAGCTGAGATCTACGGGAGAGGAAGTCTGGCTCGATAGCTGGATGCTGGCTTCAAATCCCCGTTCCCCAAAACGGCCCTGTGTGACCTTGGGCAAGCTCTTTAGCATCCCTGTGCCCCTAACCCAACTGTGAAAGGAAAGCAATGCCACTGCACCTCCACCAGCAAGTATTATGGAGATAAATACATCAATAATTATGAGGCATTCAGACAAGACAATATGACTTATCAGGAAGCAAATTCAATAGCAATCAATCAATATTACTATTGGTGTCAGAATCACATACTGTTCTTAGTTTTTGTATTACAGCATTACTTAGGGCCTCAGCCAGGGAACATTTTGCCCAGAATTACACACACATCACAAAAAAACTCTGCATGAAAGTGTCTACACTGCAAGTTAGCAAGTGCCAATCTTTATTATGGGATACTTGATCTCCCTGCATTTTTAAGCACATGAAAAATAGCACCAGTTCTGGCCCATCTGCAGCTCCTGAATTATTCCTGGGTTGATGACTTTAAGTGCTTTCATTGACAAATGTGGATCACCATGCTATACTGCAGCTGCTGGCTTGTGAACCACGCCAAGGTCTTCGTTTCTGCACCACCAGGCAGGAGTTCCCTCTGTCCTACACACCCCTGCACAAGACTGAAAAGGGTGTTCTCGGTTTCCATTTTTTAAAAATTTTTCTTGCATTAGTTCTAGTGAAACACAGCAGGGAACCAGGTCCAAAATTCCTAGCAGCTGTAGCAGTAATAATAATAAATACCGCTGCATTATAAGCTCCACACACTAGTGTCTGAAACACTAAAGTGTTTCAAAGATATAAATCCGATCATGAAGGAGAAGCCCAACCACTCTATGTCTTGAGGGCAGAGTTTTAAAAAGAGTTAAATACATTAGTTGCCCACAAGTTGAGGTTAAGTGGAAACTAAGCCCTTACAAATCTGGCTCCGGATGTGGGTGCTGAACATCGGTCCTTTTCGACTCTTGCTGCTAGAACTGCATGAAGCCAAATTACCCTGTTGAGATAAACACGCCTTTACTGTCGCACACTCCTTTCATCTTGTGGGCAGCTTGTTTTGTGAAGTGATGGACTTCTGTACAGCAGCTCAGAAAGGCTGCAGAGTTAACTGCCTTTTGCCAGGCAGGCCTTTTACTGGGGGCTGTGGAAGAGTTCCTACGGTTTGTTGATGATAAGCATCTTTCACATGGAGGAACGTGACTTCCGTGTCCTTTCAAGAATACGTTTTTTTTACTGTCAGGCAAAGATCCCTACGTTTACCATAAGCATTTGCCAGATTCCAGGAAGCTGGGTTACTCTAAATGCTCATTTTAATGAAGCACAATATAGTTAATATGACATTAAAATGCATGTGGCACTTTTCACAGGGCTTCTAAAAGTTAATTGAAACTCCTGAAAGAAATGTAAGAATAAAAAATCGTTTCAAAACAAAAGCTAAAATTTTCAAAACCTCCTGCAGGACAAAAACCCTCCAAAGTGTGCTCTGAAGTGATCTTTTTTCTCTTTTGAAAACTTCAACACCAACTGGATAGGGAAACTCAAACCATAGGATGCGGCACAACCTGAGATTTGAGGGCAGGACCGCTGCTGCTGCAGACCCAGGAAGGGAGCCCTGCTCAGAATGGGAGCTCCCAAGATTTCCGTGCTCCCAACTTTGTCTCAGGTGTTTTGGGAGCCATAGGGTCACTGACTACAGGATGCGGTGCTGCTGCCTCTGCTGCCAGAAAACCCAAATTCCAGCCTTGGAAACTCACATCCACCAGCAGCTCCCCAGGCAAGCTAACAGAAAGCTGTCTGTCAGAAAGACCTCTGCCTCTGAATGAGATTCCTAAATCACAGCTACCCTCCTGTAACTTGCCAGTTTTAGTGAGCTGACATTTCTGAGGACAGACTTGGAAAAAACATGACTGATTTAATCCTCACCTTACCAGCATTTCTGACCATATTTTAAGGGGCAACCACAAAATGACACACCAAATTCAAAACCAAAATAAACTTAACAGCTTCCTGAAATTTTGTAGCTGGTAAACGTCCTCCTACATTTGAACGCCATTTAGTGGACTCACATTTCAATGTTTCATCTCAGCTTTGATCTCAAACATCGGAGATGATAGTATTTTTTATTTTCAAGGTAGTAAAACCAGAAGAAAAAGGGGTTGGACTTGGCTAAGTCTCTGCATCTAATCTGCTGATTTCATACTTAAGAACCAACTTCCTTTGTGATGTACAAAGCAGCTATGAAGGCCTCGAGATCCTTACAGCTCCCCTTGTGCTCTCCAAGCTGTTATTTTATATAACTGAGGAATTCTGTGTTCAGCTTAGAAGAGCTTGGGTACTTTTTGGGGGCTATTTTTTTAATGTGAAATTTGTTCTCTTTTTGCGGTGTTCAGGGCTATTGTCTTTTCATCAGAAAAGCTGCGTCCCATAGCACCATCTTAATCTGATCAACTGTACTGTCAGTAATGAAAGGTCACATTTAGGATTTATAGATAGCTGAAACTAATGGAAACGGTTGTCTCCAGGCTACTGCTTAAACAGTATATTTAGACTAAGCGGTATTATGACTGCAGCTTTGGAAAAGGAAAGATGCATTTCTTTAAAATTGCCTCAAAACTCCCCAAATATCTTCAGGCTGTTTACGTGGGCAATAATTCTTGAAGATATTCCAAAATCATTTCACCCTCTGATGACATATAGAATCATAGAATCATAGAATCATTTAGGTTGGAAAAGACCTTTAAGATTCTCGAGTCCAACCGTTAACCTGGCACTGCCAAGTCCCACTAAACCATGTCCCTAAGTGCCATGTCTACACATCTTTTAAATACCTCCAGGGATGGTGACTCAACCACTTCCCTGGGCAGCCTGTTCCAGTGCTTTACAACCTTTTCTGTGAAGAAATTTTTCCTCACATCCAATCTAAACCTCCCCTGGCACAACTTGTATGCCTTCATCTAGGACAAAACGGCATATTTAACAGCACATCTAAATGCCGCACAACAGCATAGGACACGAAATGAGGGTGACTGTAAAATGACACATTGGGTGGAGGTTATCCTTGATGTTTACTTCTGTAAGTTGACACCTCGAGAAGGTGCAGACAGACAAATGGAGCCCTGACTGTAAAAAAAGAGACAGTGTCTGACCCCGTTTATGTAAGCCCAGAATAACTCTTAAAACAACCTACAGCATTATTTTGGACTTAGCCAGACACTTCAACTAATTGGGATCTTAGTGCTTAGTTTTTTGTTTATTAAGATATCTCACTCTAGTTTTCCACTTTTCCTTAACATTGAGCAGGCTGTAATTGAAGGAGAAGGAAGTGTCCACGCTGGAGGTAATCTCTCCTTTACTCCCTCGCTGCTGCTCTAGGCAATTGCCTCTCCTTGATGAAAGCCAATGGGAACACCAAGGCAGGACACAACAACAAACTGCAAGAATGAACTGATACAAACTAATCCACAGTCCCGGGAAGATAGTGGAAAGCATCACACTGCCTCCAGAATGCATTTGCTAAAACTCCTGTGACAGTCATAGATAGCCATGCTAAAATCCAAGTTACCTTCATAAAACCGGATCTTGTCCCTTAGGATGACCATGCCTTTTGTGAGGAGCTGATTCTGTAAATAAAATATAGACTACCTTTACTCCATTCTGTTCTTCCCTACAGCCATCATATTTCACATTTTGTTCATTCTTAACTTTTGACAATAAAGGTGGTCTTTTATTTTAATGATCAGTCATCAAAGGACTCCTCCTGTGTCCATCTTGCTTAAATCGCTTGGGACACTTGTCAAACGATGATACAATCACCTACTGCTTTCAGGATACAGCATGTATTCTGGGCGGTACAAAGTGCTTCTCAAACATCAAAGGGCTGACCCACAAAGCATGTACTCTGTCTTAGAGAAGCAAAAAGAATACTGCTTCAATAGACGGTGTGTACTTACTACTAAATGCCTTTCCTATTAACTATACTACAATGAACTTAACTGGTTTACACAGGAACTTAAATTTTAAGTTAAAAGAGAATGTCTGAAGTCTACTGAAAGACAGCAATGTCATACAGAAACACAGTGACTGCACAAATCTATTCCACGGCTTGGGCCTTCACTATCTAACTATATATAGATAGATAGATAGATAGATAGATAGATAGATATAAAAAATCCAAATCTCATTAGTCCATAAATGACAGTACACAGAGAAGTCAGTGGACATCTCGGAATGGTTTCAGGGGGCTTCAGATCAGCATTTAGAGTGGGTGAAATGATTTTGCTCAGTAGCATATACTGAAATCTGATTTAAATGAAAGAAAACACATGCCTACCTGTAGATATTCAGTGAAAAAGGATCCCAGTTCTGTTTTCAATAATTGCCTGTATTAAAAAGAATAAGAAAAGGATTTGTGTAACCAGCAAATCACATTAGCTGTGCACTGCATGGAAAAGGGGAAGTCACTAATAGCAAAATATTTTCATATGAGCACAGAGCCTGTCAATAATGCCTAACTAGAAATAGAGCAAATAGGGTCAACGATACCAAGACTTCAACCAGCATTTCTATTTGTTGAACGATAATCTGCTGTGCTTTTAGATGGCTCAGTTGCACAAATACATATGAAAGGAAATTGAGATTTGACGAAATGAGGATGCTTTCCATCCTACGTCTAACCCTTTTAAAAATGCTCAAATCGTTCTCCTGCGTGCCAGGGCTTCACTGGCACCTGGTGTTGCAGACGTGGGAGAACTCCTGGCGCTCTCTGCCCATCCATGGGCCTGAGCCAAAAAACGAGCACGTGACTTGGCTGATGTGTTCAGAGCCAAATCATCCCTGTCCTGTGTAAGGTTGAAAAAAAGAGCTGTGACAAAATGTTCAGAGAGAAACCTGAAGCAGGATGATACTCTGTGGGTTTTGTTGCAGGGATGAAACTTGGCCAGTTTTCATTGAAAGGGTCACGATCTTCCAGTCAGGAGACCCAAGACAGCTGAAGTTTCATACGGTTTCAGTGAAAAAGCAGGTAGGAATTTAACAGTTTAGCTCTGCCTTTCGTGATTCTTCTACACTAAAACCTACAAAGCAATCTCAGAGAGCAAACCAAACTCACATGCAAAAAGAATTCCCACAAACCACCCTCAAATTCAGAAACTGAATTCAACCTGATCTGCAAACCCAACATTTGTATCCAGATAAAACTCACTACATTGCTGAAGAGCTGTATGTCATTTACGTCTCACATGTTGGATGCTAGATGTACTTCTCTGCACTCAGGTCGCTATTTAGATGCATAAACGAGAGCTCAGACCTTACAAAAATGTAGCCCCAGCTGGGTTTTCTGAACATTTGCAAATCTGGCCTGGAGCTGTTTTGAAAACCTGTCCCTGTGTGACCACCTCAGGTCCCATAAAGAAATGAGGTCAAATTCAACTTGAAATCTAAACACCCACTTCAATTAGTTATGTAAATTATATATTCGGTAGCATGTTATAATCTATCGCTTTGGGTTATGTCTTTAACTAACAAATAACCAATTAATCAAATTATTTAACTAGTAAACAAATACACGTCTGGTTTAAAAAGTCCAGCATATCCCTATGCTCCATGAAAAAGCCTGCAGGAGTTGGATCTGATGTTTTTAACACCACATGCTTCAGCACAGCCTCTTGAGATCTTCTGAAAGTTCACGGAAAGGAGGAGCAGGTCAATCTTTAGGAGGCCGAAATACAATCTCTTATTTATTTATCCTTAAGCACATGTCCACACTGACCTCACAGCACCCTGTGGAAACACTAGGCATAAATGAAATAGAAAATAAACAAAAGGAAGGGGGATTTCAGATGCTCCTAAGCATCAAAATGCTTTTCTGCTAGAAACCTGATTAATTCAGACAAACTGCCTATGGACAAAAATTTTCAAAGCCAGCTCAGGCTTTAGCCATAGGTCTCTCATTGCCATGAATGGCCATCGTATGGCTAGCCCCCTTGGCATGCTGTTGCAACATGTGGGAGAGGACAACCCTTGCAGTGCCCCGAGACTCCGTCCCCAATGGTACCCACTGACAAGCCCTTGGCAGGGGTTAAAACCCACCTCCCCCAAAGATAGTTGAAGTCTTAAAGCCTTAAAAGTACGTCAATGAGTACAAGAATGCATTGTGCCATGCTCACTCGAAGTGGGAATTTACTGTCCAAGTGGTGTGATTTTTTTCTGGATTGCAAGTGATGGCACTAAAGGTTTTTCTTACTTTGAACATGGATAGATAAACCATTTTTAGGTTAAAATAACAAGAAAGCTGCAGTTTTGAATTTTCCTATGATAGAGACAATTTATTCCCAGCTATCTCTTTGTGCCACTGTTTGAAAAAAATACTGGTACTTTATGCTGACAGGTTTTGCTTAATTTTCTACTCTCTCCTCAAGCTAGCAGCTCTTTGAAGCCTAGTCCTGGATTCCTCATAGTCTTGAACAGGTGATTTGCAAATACCTTCTCTTTTCATGTTTTAGGTTCTACTGATAATTCCTGGCATTTAGGGCAGGAAATACAAAATTATGTTCTACTTACCGAATAACTAGCCCTTTGATAAAACAAAATCCCACCACATTTCCATTTTTTCAGCTGTGAATGAACTAAACAACCAGCCTGTAGTTAATTATATGCACTGGACTGCATCACACCAAGCAGCACTATGGCTACATTAGCATTTCTGTTTACAGGGTGGAAGAAGAACTGACAGCACAATTAATACATCTTGCTCTTTGAATCCCTAATAAAACAGATACTTCACACTGCTTAATTAATTTCTTGTGAAATAGTGAGGCCCTCAGGCCACATCAGAACACTGGTGTTTGATGTTCTCTGTACCCATATTCATTTAAGAGAGATCCACAACAAAACTGGACCCAAGACATTGCTTGCAAATTTTTTTAATCTTGCTTAATTTCCTTTAACAAAAATCAGTTAGGTTGTCACCTGTCAGATCCTGGATAATTCAGATTACTGAATAACCTTATCTAGATATGTGGACATCATGGTGGAATCCAGGTAAAAATGTCAACCTAAAAGAGATCCCTGATCAGATAGCAGACCTCATTTCAAGCGCATCTGATTTTGAAGCCAGTCATTTTGCACTCTTATGAAGCTTGTATATCATTGGTATCAGGTCTTCATTGCCTGTTTAATGATAAATTAAGATGATAATATAAGTTCACATAAAATATGCTAAAATAGCTCCTGACTTTTTTGTATCTTCCTGCTGCCACTTCTTTGATTCATTTTGAAATTAACTCTTGCAACATTACTCAGAATGGAAGGTCTAACACTGTATAGTATCTGCTAAATAAAGTTAAATGAAGCAAATGGAAACAAGTGACTTTACTGGATTTGAACTCTTGCTACAAAAGAGGAAATGCCACTAACATGTGCTTTGTCTCCATCAAATCAGTATCCTGAAACTCAGAAAAGAGGCAGCTATAAATATGTATTAGCTTTAATACAGGACATCCTGCTTCCACTGTGTTTCCGTTTCCTTCTTTTTCTTCCTTGATTTACAAGTGGTGTAAATACACACTTCGAAATAACTTATGGTGCATGAAATGAAAAAGGACAAAACACTATATGATTACTAGTATCACACACGGACATCAAGAGAAATACTAAACACTAAGTATATGCATATAGATTTTTATTACCTGACTTTTGAATCAATCCCCTATTAAATCACCTAGTAAGGGCTCAGAAGAAGTAATGTACAGGACATACACTGGTGATGCTCCCAGTTACTGGAGTATCTTCTTCTGACCATCTTACTGTACTTCATTAGCTTTAGCAGATTTATTCAGGAGTTAAAGCAATATGAAAGAGACTGAAGTCACAGACTGATTTTATTAGTAGTAGGGCTTTCTGAGCACTACATAACTCCATATTTAAGGCCACTTTCTAATGCCAGAGGAATGCAAGAACGGTGTCAAAAGGCATTGGTATAAATGAGTGGCAGCTTTTATGAGCCAAACCTAGAAGAAAAGTAAATGGTACTGCACAGATTTGTACCCACTGATGTTTTCTTAAATAATCAGTGCATACATAATCAGGGTTCAAAGCCTCAAGGTGTGTGTTCAGAAAAGGAAGTTATACATATTTGTTTGCACGTATGTGACATACAGTAGTTGAATATACGTGACATTCCTGAGTCAAAACAATGGTGTGCAAATACTGCAGGCATAACGTAACCGTTCAAATATTTACACTTGGTCTGTGAGTCAACTTGGATATTCAAGGTTTAATTATGAAAAGTATCCCAGAATCTGCTCTAATTGAAGTGGTAAAATAAAAAAACTTCTTTTACTGTCCTGTAACTTTTGAAAAAAGTTACTGATACTAGCCATTTACCTGAACGCTTCCACACCCAAATTCTGCCCAGTGGAAATAATGGCTATTTGTTTCTTTTTATTTATGTACTTGTGGGGAAAATGCATCTAAAACAATCGTAAAGCAAATATAGACTTGTTCTACTTCTGAGGTCATGTTTATGAATCAGATATTTTTGCTTTCAATAATAACATTAACCCAAAGAAAGTTATTTTGAATTAAATAACAATAGTAGTAAGCCAGGTATTTTTGGTATGTGTCAAATCAGTAATTTCTTAGTTGGGTTTTGAGCTGAATTTAAGTGAGGCAAAAGGGCTTCGGTTGCAAATAGTCAGGAGGCCCTAAAACATTCTTGACTGTGGTCGGCACTAAAATGAAGCACACAGCAGGAGTGCAGTAGCTTCTGGAAAGAGGCCGTGGCTGGACGTGTGAACAGGCGTGTTTAAAAAAATACCACTACCACGTTCTCCTCTAGAAACAGATCTTTCGGCTATTGTGTCCTCTTTGCCCACTCGCAGTTTTCTCATCTTAGCTTTTTTTCTATGAATGAAGCAAGCAGGACACACACGAGAAGCTTCACAAAAACAAACTCAGAGTTGTCACCAAGAGGATGGACAGCTTTAGGCAATAAATTAGAAGGCTGTTCAGGCCAAGTCAGGGGCAAGAGGGAACAACCTCAAAGCAGCAGTAGACAAGAACCAGTCTCAAAAGCCATGCTGCAGCTCACCAAATGCTCGCTCATCCCATGAGAGTTATGCTGCTGATGCCTCATTTATGACAGCAGCTTTCTAGCTCGGTCTAGATTTCACAATATTTTGTCCATCAGCTCAGGTATGAGTCACCGAGCGTTGTTCTCCAGGAAGCAGCGCAAAACTGAGCCATCAGCCAAGGTAACAAAGCAGCGTTATCCTTACCCTAGCAAAAAGAAACGGGCCTACCATGCGGCAGCAAAGCCCATCATAAAATGGAAAAAAAAATCAGTCTACTTGTAGTCAGCTTGCCTGTTCAGCTGCCTGGGATGTTGCAATAAATTCAACACAACTATATTAGCAAGCATCATCATGGTGCAGGGTTTATACCCAGGTAAATGAAAGTAAAATCTGGGCACAATTCACCAAATAACATCCATCCATCCATCCATCCATCCATCCATCCATCCATCCATCCATCCATCCATCCATCCATCTTCTATTTGTTGGTTCATACAAGATTATATTTGTCTCTGTCACATCAGCAGATAGTTTTTCCTCTTCTGTCCTTCACCAGCAGACGAGCATCCCAAGGTAAATGCATTGGGCCAGGAAATCTCAGCCCAGAACTACAATTTTTTGTCATTCAGATAAAGCTGAAGAATCCTAACTGCACTTACAGTAATAATCATCAACCATTATTCCAATAACTAACTCAAAATGATTGACTGATCATGCTAACTGACAACCATCCTAGAAAAGCTATTCTTTGTATGTCATTTTCTCCCCAGAGAAGTAAGAAATAACTGGAGAATAAGTTTCTTTTAATTTCATAAAGACAGAGAGAGAGGGAAAAAGAGATCACAGGCCAAATGTCATTCCCCTGGAATTCCCACAATTAAAGGAACCAGACTGGGCCAGCTATCCCAGACTGGGAACGAGACAGGGACAGATAATCCCAGAATATCTGGATATTCTGTGGATTTTGGCAGACTCCAGTGCTCAGCTGAGTGGGAATAAGCAGTAGGGAAA